TTTTTTTTTTTTTTTTTTTTTTTTTTTTTTTTTTTTTTTTATATATATATAAGAATGATATTGATGATATTGTAAATTTTTTTGTGCTTGACTTTAATGAAAATGCATTCAATGTACAAACGTATATATATATATATATACATACAAATGAGGTTGTTCTGTATGCACAAATGGCAAGTCATTGAATTAGTAACACAAGCTCAAAAACCATAAATCAGAATAAAAAAGAAAAGAAATAAGAACAATATTACTAATAATGTAACAACATTAAATCTGCCAATTTTTTACACTTAAGCGATCTAATTACGCAAAATTAGAATTAGGTTAGAGAAAAAAGTCAGACAATGTTTTTACCTGCGTCTTATTTCATTTCTTTCGATGATAAGGTGTAGAATAAGAATAATAAACATATTTATCGATATTTGCTGTTAACTGAACAAAAAAAATTCATCGTCATTCGATTTTTTCTTTTGTACAAGCTTCATATTTATATAGCGTTTAAAAGTAAAATAACAAAAATACATATTATTCTATCGTTCTATTTTCATATCAACATTTTATCTACATTCCAGGATTATATTAAGATATTAAGATTTTAACAAATTGTATTATTTTATCAGTCATAATTAATACAAATATAAGTTTGTCAGATTCTCTTTCTCGATGTCTATATCATTAATGTTAAGTATTTTATTTTGACAAGAATTATGTCCAGAATAAATTAACTCATATTTAAAAATTATACATAAATTTTGGAAAGAAAGTAATAGACTGTTTTTTCAATCAAAGTGTAAGCGTATTATTGAGCAATGTTCTATACTTATATTTATACTTATTAATTTCATCATATAAAAAAAAAATTTATAATGTCACATTTTTCTCTTATTTGTAATTGTAGATAAAACATAATAATTGTAACTGATATAATTTTATTAGAAAGTAATTATTTTTCAAAAAACGCGTCAAAAAATTTTAATATTACAAAGAAACAAGTATATCTTGGCAATAAACTTTATTTGAATAAATTATATTTATAATTAAATTTTATTAATTTTAGAATATATATATTTAATTAAATAATTCAAAACTTGAAATGAAATAATTTCTACAGGTAGATAATATTGAAGTAAATATCTTTTATAATTTTTTAATAATAAATCGAGTTTTACCTACCCATAGTAATACATTTCTTTATTTTTATTCAGTATGAAATAACAAAAATATGCATATTTCAGATACTGATTTTATATTTAAAGTGAAAGAAAAAAGAAAGAACAGAAGGCGTATGTCTATTTTATTAGTTACAGCAAATGTTTTGTAACGCATTATTAATAAATAACATTGTGAAATAGACTCGTTGTCAAAATAAGTATTTAATATATTTCAATTATTTCACACGTGTGTATCATCTACATTTTCCAACAATTTGTTTTAACAGGGGCCATTCAGAATGCAGGGCTCGATATAAAACGCTTTGGAGTAAGGAAGAAATTGATTACATCAATAAAATTCTCGGCATTTCTTAACATTTATGCTTCATGGATCGTATTCTTTATTTTATAAAAATTAATAAAAAATATGAAAGTTATGTTACATACATAATTTAATTTTTTAAATAAAAATTGAAAAGATAAATTTAGAAAAAACGGTTGTTTTTTTATTAATGATAAATTTTATTTAATAAATATGATCCATAAAATTTAAAAATTAAGAAATGTTGACCTGTATTATTAGCCAAAGAATTCTCAATGCACTGGTTACACAAATCAAAAAAAAAATTATATATATTATTATCATATTACAATGAGATAAAAAATTCTTTGATTTCCATTTTTTTCTACTTTAAAAAGATATAAAATTGATGGATATTCATACATTAATAAATTGTTTTATATATAAATTTTTTAATTATTTAAATTTATATAAATTATTTAATTATTTAACATTAATAAAATAATATATTTCACGAGATAATATTGAACATTAAAAAATATCTTTATAAGTAATAACTAGAAGTGCAATAGAATTTTTTTGGTTCTTAATACAAATAAAAATTATAAATATATGATAAGTGTAATGCTATAGTGTATATTATATAGATAAATAATAATAATTTTTACAAAATTAGAAATTGATAAATCCAGAAAAAATGTATTTGTATATTATTATTATTATTATTATTATTATTATTATTATTATTATTATTATTATTTGTATAATAAAGATACCTTTGAATTACAACAGTATTTATTTTGAAAAAAGTTTTTTAAAATATAAATTATCATATTTTTAACAAGAATATTTATAATTGCATCTAATTTTAAAAAATAATTATATAAATATTATATTAATTATTATTATTAATTATGGATTATATTTTTATTTATTTTATGAATTTTCCACTCCCAAAGATATTAAAATATAAATTTATGAAAATTATAATTTTTATATAGAACAATATATATTTAAATATTTTATTACATACTATACTATATCTACTATAAAAAGAGCTATGAAAATAAAAAATATATGAAATCAAATTATTTAGACTTTATTTTTTTATAATGGTTAAAATAAAAAAAGATTGTTTGAAATATAATCCTTTTTATTAACAGATTCAGTAACATTTAAATTTTTTTTTTAGATTAAAAGTGCAGATAATTTTTCTTCATAATTTCATTATTATAATAAATCTAGATATATAATATGAATTTTCTAAATATTTTAAAAGTATGACAAATCTATAATTATTAATTAATAATATTCTATAAATCTAATTAAAATTATAAATTTCAATATGAGATTCTTTTAACATATATCATTTATATTTTATTAACATCTATTACAAATCATTGCTAGAATGAAAAATTCCATATTTTATCACATATTTTGATGTTACAACACGNTACATACATGAAGACAATATATTTTTTCTTTTTTTTAAATTTTTTTTTAAAAACTTATTCTTTATGCAATTTCTATTTCAATATAATCTTGAGACGTATTATAATGGATATGCTATCTAGCAGGGCGTTGTTCTTCTATAAACGCAGTTAAACGTTGTCGAGTTTTTTTATTGTTTTGACAAGCTGAAGAAACTAAACCAATTAAGTGTTTAACAGAATATTCCTGTAAAATATTAATAATAAGTAAAAGTATAATCATTATGTAAGTGTTATGTAAATGTAATTTTAAGTACTTTGTGATCTCTTATCCATTCCTCCAAACTATTTTCTGGAAGATAATATGCTTTAATATATAATTCAACATATTCTCTATGAGGCATTGGTCTTAAAGAAGTCGTTATCTCAAATTTCGATTTTAATTGCGTAAAATCGAGTTGCATTAGTGCTCTACCACCATTTGAGCATTTTTTAGCATTAGAAAATCTGCGATAAAACATAAATATAAAAAAAGAATAAATAAAATCTAAATAATAAAATGACATACCCTTCTACTAATGTATGAGTTATTAAATGTGCTACATTTTCCCAAATAGAATTATATACATCATCTGCTAAAGGAAGACAACTCCCGATATTTTTTAATCTTTCATTTAAAACAGATATTTCCTAAAAAAAAAAAAAAAAAAAAATTAAAAATTAAAAAAATAATAAATATAAGAAAATAATTTTCAATAAAGTAAAATATTTATTTTATATACCTTATTTTATATAACTTTATTTATATAAAGTTACAATAAATACCTGAAGTAATGCATCAATATATCTACTATGTTGAGACATAACATCAGTCACTTCCCAATTAACTTTGTTCATCAAATTTAAAATATTTGCTACATCAAATGTTTGGGATGCTACAGCCATATATACTGGTTTCCTTAGATCTATAGTCGATGCTATTGTTTGCATATAAAATTGATGAAGAAAACCGCGTTGAGGACTAGCACCAATAAGATGTTCTAAATATGCTTTCAAACTTTCATATTGTTGGCCTAAAAATATTAAAGATTCCACTCCTACAATACGTTCCGTCAAACCATGAAGTTTTTCTGGTTGTGATAAATTTACAATGGAAGATAGTTGTGGCTGACGCACTTTATCAGAGTTTAATTTAATATTATCTTCTGTATCATTTTCACAAATAATTAAATTTTCTTTAATTCTTGCTAAAGATAACTTTAATTTTGGACTATACAAAGAATCACTATTTATTTGCTATTAAAAGAAATATTATTTATTAATAAATTAATTTCTCAATAGAAAATAATTAATTTCTTAATAAAATAATTTACTAAAACTTACTAAGTCTGAAGTAAAAAATAAATGTACAGTATAAAAACATAATTCGTAAAACTGTATCATACTCTGTATAACGGTGATTGCAATTGATCGTAATAATCTAGACATCTGTAAATACTTTCCACAAATTCGCAATATACTTAGTGTCGTATTTGTAACCATAGGTCCTGATTGTTTTAGTTTACTTTTTTTTTTATTTGTTTTGATATTATCTGAATCATCGACATATTCATGTTTTAATTCATCTGGAATATCATCATCCGATTCGTCAGAAAAATAAGCTGGAGGATTATCCTATATAATACAAATTATTTTATATATTATATTGTCAATTATTATAAAAAGAATAAATTAATTCCAAATATCATACTTCATTGCTTATTAAAATATCTTCATCCATTGTATCATCTAAACCTATAGAAAATGGAGATGCACCTCCTTCTAAATATTTTTGAATCCATTCTGTGCTTATATTACTATCATTTTCACCAACATTCGAATCAAAATTATTCCATACTTTACAACTAGTTAAAGATGGTTTTAAACTTTTAAATTCTTGTAGTTGCGTTGCTACAAAATTCGATTTAACAGGACACAGTTCCCAACCATCATTTTCTAAAAATATTCTAAGTTCATCCAATCTTGATGCATGATAATGAGAAAAATATGATAATGATTGTTTTCTTATAGATTCTTGCAAATTTTCTGATTTGAAACCACATAATTCTTCTCCAATTTCCATTAATCTGTAATTTTTCATTAATATAATAATTTAAATTAAATTAAATTTATATAGAAACATAAAATATTTACCTATTAACTATTCCTAAAACTTGAACAAACTGTTCAAATTTGATATAAGTCAAATCAGCATTTATCAAAAATATCGATATTTTCATTTCGACGTCGTGCCATACTCGAATCATACTGTTTTCTAATTTATGTTTTACATATTGTTTGCTGAAAGTTTCTTCTAGATTTTTTATATCAGTTTTATGTTCAATTTTATTTTTTTGTGTATTGTGCCAATTTACTATCAAGTAGTAAGAACTTAATATTGTCCAGAGTGATTTACATAATTCTGTTAAACAAATAATGCAACTTTCACGAGGTACTGATTGACAAAGTTGTTTATATTGTTTTTTTGTATCTCCACCTGCATATGAATGAACAACTGCAAAAGCAGTATTGTGAATTGCAGCAGTGAAATGCATATGCAATTGATCCATTGCAGATTGAGTTTTTCCTAATAAAGTATAAGCTTCTTGAATGGATGTATATATTGTTACATCAAATTGTGTACACATCTTTGACAATGTTATATCCAATGCTTCTTCTGCTTGTTCTAAAATATCCTGCAATTTTCCATTTAAAGCAGCAATGCAATGAAAATGTTTATATGTTTGTGCTGCACTTTGACATTCTAAAAGCAATGAAATTGCTCTAGGATAATTCTTTTCATTTAATAATTCTTGCAATCTATCTCCTGTACGTTGCTAAAAAGAATCACAATAATTAATTTATTATTATTTTAGTAAATTATGAAATAAATATAAATTAAAATAAAAAATATTTACCAGTGTTTTTATGGTATTTAAATTATTTAATAATTTTTCTACAATCTGTCGTTTTTTATAATTTGCTAAAATTCCTAAACTAGCTGTAGTAAATTGTCTTTCAGCTAATTTTAAATCTGCTCTTCCCATTCTACAGATTTCTAATACATCTTGTAACTGTTCTTGTATTAATAAAATTTTTGCAAATTCTTTGCTACAAGCACTTTGTTTTTGTAAAATAAGTTGTAGAACTTTTTTTGAAACAACTTGATGTTGTTGTTTCAGTTTTTTGTAACATTTTTCAATATCTTTAGATTGCAATACCTTTGGTAGTTTTTCTAATTCATGTCTACAAGGATCAAAATTATGATCTGTATTAAAATAAATTCCTTCTATAGATTCTAATATATCTTGATCAGGAATAGGTTCACTTTCTGTTGACTGATCAGCTTCTGATTGTATTTCATCTGATTTTTGTGATTCTGATGGATTCAATAGATCTGGATGTAAACCCATAAGTGGTATCTTGATTGCATTCTAAATAATAATAGAAAATATAAATATTATATTAATTTTTGTTTAAAATAATTTTTCTTTAAATATTATTTGAAAGAAAATTATTTTAAGAATTGTTATTTGAAAGAAAACTATTTTAAAATTTATTATAATACATTAATTAAACTATAAAAATAATATCACGACATAACCTAAAACATAATAAAAAGGAAAAAAAAATTACATTTATTATCATATTATTTATCATATATTTTTTTACCTGTTTATTAATAAGACCGAAAAATTTACATTTTAAATCTTCCATACTGTAAATTTCTTTAAAATTTGGTGCAACACATTTTCATCTATTAACTCGATATCTTGTTATTTCTATCCATCCTGATATATCAATTAACATTTGCATTTCTTTGTAATTATTTAATTAACCCCATTTCGTAACTACATAAAATCTGTTACTGAAACATTATATAGATGCTTAGATCACATATGTATATCAATATTTTTTTCAGGTTATGTACGATATGAAATTTCCGCGGGAATTATATCGTTTTCATAGTTATTGTATCATTTATGATATAATAGAATGATATTAATGATAGATTTTTATATAAATAATATATATATACTGTTATCTTCAAATAACAAATACTAATTTTTTGATTCATTATATTTTTTTATTTCTAGCATATTCATAAAAAAATAATAATTATATATATATAAATATAATAATTAATATTATATAAATAAAATAATTAAATATATTATATTAAAAAAATGTTAAAACAAATATTTAATAAAATTTTAATAAAATTATTTATATATATTATTATTAT